AGGAAAAAAATACTCAAAATATTCTAAAATAAATTTCGCTCTATAAGAAAGGCAACGCTTTGTAAGTAGGGGTGTAAACGAGTCGAGTCGAGTCAAGTTTAGGTCCTTATCAAGCTCGCCTCGTCACTTGGAAGGCCTGTTCGAACTCGAGCTCGTCTCACTGTAAACGAGCTCTAGCCGGCTCGCGAGCCATTGACGGAAATTTTAAAATTTAGACAGGATTTTTTTAAATTAGGTGGGATTATTAAAACTTAAGCGGGATTTTTAAAACTTATTTAAAATTTAGAAAAAATAGATGAAATGTTTAACATTTAAATAAAACTTAAGTGGTTTTTTTTAATATTTAAATTTAATATATAAAATAAAATTATTTTAAAAATACTAATACTTATTCGAGCTGGCTCGCGATCTCACGAGCCGACTCGTGAGCTCCATAAGCATGGCTCGCGAGCCTATAAACGAGTCGAGCTCAAGCCGGCTCAGCTCACTTGCACCTCTATTCGTAAGCTATTATAATTTTTTTCATTATGAAAATAATATATTTTGTATTGTGTAAAATAATAGTCTTTGTCATTCACTAGCAAAATAAAGAAGAAATGTAGCTTGGAATCTAAAAAAAAAAATGCAACTTGGAATCTACCGAAGTTGACTTGTGGCTTGAGAAATAAATATAAATGAACTATGTTTATGGAGAATTTTTTTTTTTCCAAGAGTGCATTAATTTATAGATATGCTGCATGAAGACAGCCTGATAAAAGCAATTTAAGGGTTGTACTCAGCTCTCCTTGTTGTGTTAGTTGGTAGTTTTAATTATCAACCAAAAGATCTTCGTAGTATCAGATTCAGCTTTAATTTTTAGAGTGAGCATAAAAAATAAAATAAAAAAATAAAAAAATATATAAGCTAAAATTCCCTTATACTCATTGTGTGTATGAAATTGTTAGGATCTTGGAAGATGTTCTTGAGAGAGAGAGGGAATGAGAGGGAGACAACAATTTTGGAGGAAATACAAATTAGCTTTACTAGATTTTTCTCCAACTCTTACATCAACCCAAGGCCTATATTTATAGAGCATTACCAAGGTGTGATAACATGCATGAGCAACATAGCCTAAAACTAAAATAACTCATAACAATCTCCACCTTGATTTAGTTTTACAAAAAACAAAAAACCACTTGTCACAAGAACTCAAACTTATTGCAATCCAACCGATCGCCCTGGACACCCGTGCGCGCTCCTACCTGCGACTTCGCACGATCCACCCGTCCACCTAGCCCTGCGCATTCACCTGCGCTCCGCTCGTCACAATCCCAAGTTTGCGACCATCTTGCCTCCACGAGGTTCTTGATGCTTCAACATGCTCCTATAATTCTCCACCTTGATTGAATTCCACCTGAATATGAATCTCTATCTTCTCCCTCATTTGAGCCTGACCAAACAGCCCAAGGACAACAGGTTCACCTCCACCTATTTCTATTTGCAACCGGAATGATTCAAGTCCCATTGCCTTGCTTCCTCCTATCTTCACCTTCTGCATATTTGATAGCATCCATAGGATTTTGGATATCTGGAACTACATTCAGCTCAATAATTCAAGCTCAGGTCCGCCCACGTGGAAAACCCATGCTCTGCTTCTCAGCCACCTTTACTTGTTCAAGATTTGCTTCTCAGCAACCTTTGAATGTTCAAGATCCTGCACATCCGTGTCCTGCCGCGTGCCCATGTGCCTCGCGCACCCGCACCACCTGTGCCTACCCGTAGCGCCCGCCCTGCGCTGCCCCACGCACACCGCCGTACACCGCGAGGCTTCCCGTCTCGTGGCCAAACCAGCCCAACCGTCTCCGCTTGCCAAGAATGTCCACTGTTCCTCCCTATCAAGAATCCCACAACAGTACCTTGCGGAGCTTCCTTCTGGCGCAGCTTTACAATCAACTGAAGCTGCCTCTTCCGCTTGCTTGCCTCCGCCCAGTGACCAGCTCGCGCAATCTCCCTTGCCAACTTAAGATCGCGGCACCAGGCCGCTGCGCCTTTCCTGCACGAGTCCGCCCGCGTCTGCTCCTGCCTCCACCTCAGTAAGCCAACCCGACGCCCGTTCGACTGCGTCCTAGCTGCGGTCTGCGCCTCCTTCCTTTTTCTTGAATGCAAGAACTCCCTCCATCTCCCTAGCTCTGATACCATTTGTTGAGATATTGGAAGATGTTCTTGAGAGAAAGAGAGGGAAGGAGAGGGAGACAGAAATTTGGGAGGTAATACAAATTAGGTTTATAGATTTTTTCCCAAATCTTACATCAACCCAAGGCCTCTATTTATAGAGCATTACCAAGGTGTGATAACATGCACAGGCAACATAGCCTAAAACTAAAACAACTCATAACAGAAATATATAAGCTAAAGTTTTCAAAACACTCAATAGCTAAGTCAATAATGGGTTACAAAGATAATATTTTGAGGTCTACTACTCAGATGTTATGAGTCCTTGATTCAAATATGCTTAGAGTTGCACAATTTTGGATTATGAGTTCTTTGGCCATAAGGCCTTATTAATAGATGTTATTTAAATGAATGCTGCAAAAAATTATTAATCTTCATAATTAATGGCGACAATCACTAGGGACAACAACCGCCATTCAACAACTGATCACCAAACTATCATTACATAACTATGATCAATCGACCAATTACCCAACTATTGTTGCCCAACAATTATCACACAATTACTATTAATGGGGCTGCTATCACATAATCACTGTCACTTGATCTTAGTCATCTTACTATCTTTGCCCAATTGTCAAACAAGAATGATGCATGTCATCACTATCACTTATCATATCGCTGACACCAACAATGATATATGTGACTGGCAACAAGGTCAATTTATGTCATCAGCACTTATGTCGATGCATGTTAATTACCAACAACAAGTCTAATGCATGCCATCGGTACGAATGTTAACACACGTCTTTACTTATAAAATTGATGCACACTGTCAACATCAGCATCAATACATGACATTGCCATCAAGGCTAATGCACACAGTTAACATCGACCCTAATGCTCATTGACATCAACAAAGTTAAAAAAAAATGGAAAATCAAGGAGTCTGACCAAATTAAAATGATTTAACTAGTGTGTATCATATATTACAAATGATGTCCTTCCTCACATTAGAGAAGTTATCGATACTACAATTTACAGGAAACTTATGATTTTTAACGTTAAAATTCAAAAAAGGAAAATCACGGAGCCTGGCCTATTTGAAATAATTTAAGCAGTGTGTGTCATAGATTATAAATAATATTATTATTCACAGTTAGAGAATTCATTAATACAATGTAGTAGATATTAATGGTCATGATGCAAGTTGGAGGAGACTTGAGGCATTGGCTATCTTGAATAAATTAATGATGTTTTGTTTGATCATTCTCCCTATAGAAGGGGAGATCAAAATCCAACAAATCAAGTATAATGTTGATGTTGGGCATTGAGGATTTTAATGCCTATGAATTGCTTTCAACTCATCTTATTTACATTCAAGAAGACACTTCATATAATCCTAAAAGATTAAAAAAACTGTCTGATACTGTGAATTTCTAGAAGGCAACGCTTGCCATTTTATTTTCTTGCCCAATTAAATTTTCATATAATCGTTTGTAATCAAGATGATCAAAATCTCTCTCTACTCTTTCAACTTGGAAAATGAAAAATTTCTTATTCCCATTGAGCCAACTAGTTTTTAGATAGTGACTGAGAAAAGAATGGCAAAAAATTCTTGTTGACTGCAATATTATTAAACCTCTAATAAGTGAAAATTGAAAAAATTTAGAAAGAGAGAACAAAATATAATTACTGCATCAAATGTTACCGTCCACTTCATGAACAATTATTAGATCAGGTGAGCTGACGTAGCTCTACGTTCGGACGCCAATAACATGTCGCCACGTGGTCTTACTCAATACCACGCGGCCCAACAACTTGACCCGGGATTGCTATGTTCGCGTATTGCTTGACAATAATGAAAAATATCGCTCTGTGAAAACCAATACTAAGAAATACCGAGCAATACCGAGAAAAACTCAGTATTACTTAGTATTGCTCAATATTGATCTTCACATAATGGTATTTCTCATTATTGCCGAGCAAAATTGATCAATACCAAGCAATACCTAGCAACACGCGAACATAGCAATCTCGTCTCCGTTCCAGGTCGGGGTTATCGGGCCGCGCAATAAATAGTGAGAATACGTGGCACTATTTTACTGGCGTCCGAACGTAGAACTACGACAGGTGACCGGACCAAATAAAAGTTCCCACTTCACATACAAGAGGGAAAAAAGGACAAAGTCTTCCTACACGGAAGTGCTACAGTTGGCATAACTATTTGAAGGAAATAAATCATATTAAGTAAATAAATTATTGCTAGATCATATGCTTTTCAAAAGAATTAAACCATAGAAGGGAATCTTCAAAGGAATTGAAGAATTCCAAGTGACGACAAAAGAGGAGTTCACCAAACCTCAATGGATTAAGAGGAATTTAGATGTTTAAACAAAAAAAAAAGGAGAAAAAAAAAATGTAGTAACAGGAATTGATCGCAAACATGCACTCTCTATTTACAACGACCGACAAAATCATTATCAAACGGAATTAGATTTGAGAATAATCTTTTTTTCTGTATTGTTGAACCTATATCGAACTATTTTATATTGACATCCTGCGGATGGCTTCAATGAGCAAGACTTTTTTTGGAAAGTTTTTGGCCATTATTTATTATTATTATTATTTTTTAATTCTATTAAAAATTATTTTTTTAAAACAATAAAAAAATTATCGCAAAAAAAACTAGATTTCTCCCCCTCTACCATCCTCTTCAACTAAAAAAAGCAAAAGGAGGTTGTTCCCGGCAACTATGCCCCACAAATTAAACCCTAAATCTAAAGGGATATCCATATTGATGCTAAAAAAACTATATATTTGAAAGAGAAATTTAACCAAACAAATCATTCAACAAAAAAATGTCCATATATTATAAAAATTCTATCAAAATATAAGCAACAATGTACACCAAAACAGGCATCCCAAGCAAAGAATTAACCTTACTCAAAGAAAGCAAAAGGCATCTAAATATGACTTTACATAACGCACTGAGTCTGGAGCAAGGGGTCAAGTTTTAGACAATCACCAACTACAGAACAACCCAACTAACTTAAGGAAACATACCTACTGTAGCATCGTCCAAGTATTTAAACAAGGAGTAAGACTATTATGTACAAAAAATGTGAATTCATTGAGACTTTCAAGACCAAGGGGATGGAAACAAGGCCATCCTAAAATAAGGATCAAATTCAACTCCGAGACTGCTTGCTGGTATAGGCTGATAGAATCCGAAGATTGCCTCAAAGACATGCGACAGGCTAGTTGTTCCCTGACAAGTATCATAAACCAACAAGATGGAAGGGATGGACACCATTTTACCTCAGGCTGGTAGAAGATTGGGTCCGCAATCCGAGCTATATGGACACAAATCCAATCTCCATCTACTTGGGGGAAAAGCAAGCTACCCCAGCTTTCTATAACTTTCCATGAGCCACTAAAGGCAAATACTGGCAAAATCATATTTCTCATTGAGAGAATTTGGTCCCCATATGAACCATAAGATTAAGCAGCTCAGCCAATGTAAAGATGCTTTTGCTTCACTTAGTTCTGTTCAGCTGATGTGGAGGATGCAAATTTAAAGGCTGGGTATTGTATTGGGTGAATGGTTGGGAATATACAGGATTTATGAGGCCCTGCACGTGTTTAATGAGTAAGGCTCTGTGATGCTCTTTAGCTAAAAGGAGTTTGAGCTCAGTAAGGTAACTACCTGTGACTGAAGAGGACCTGGTCCACCAAAATGGCTCTGAGAAGACTCTTGTGAAGAATCATTGAATCCTGCCTGCGTGAATAACCCTGGTGATCCATGCGTCATATAATCCTGAATAAAAGGAGATTCTTTAGTCCAAATGAAGGGATACAATGTTAAGGCAACGGCCTAATAAATGAAGTAATATAGTTGCAAAGTTACCTGAGAGATGAAGTCGTTCCCAGTGCCCAGGTGGGTATATCCTGGTTGGGTATTCTGATTTAGGTAGCTTGGGAATCCACCCTGAGGTCCTTGGGCAACATAATCAACAGCATATCCACTTTGGGAAGCCTGCAAACACGAACAATACTTGATGCCATATGGAAAGAAAAAGATACACAGAAGATGAAGGATTTCTAACATATAAGGCAAAGTCAATTACTGAATCCTCACATTTTGAGGAATCATTCAAACAAACTCTGATTGGACAAAAAGAAATGAAGAGAAGAATCCATGAATATGTGAGGGGGAAAAAAAACAGCAGATACTCAGGCCGCCTCAAAAAAAAAAAAAAAAATGTTCACCAAAACATCAAAACTGCCCATCCGTGATTTCACAACCTTTTGTTACAACTCTCCATAAAACACATGCACAGAAAAACTTCCATGTTATGAAGTAGTAACTACGTTGCAACTATTTTTCACCGCATTACTATTATTTTATTTAAAAATGTTCAACTACACTAATCATATAAGACTGAAACAGTCTGCGAAATCACAATTAAGATCAGCTAACCAACTTTACAACTTCACAAGGAAAAGTTATTGCTTTAGCATATGTACAGGCACATGGCATAATAACCTAACACCTAGTCATAAAATGGCAAAAAAAAAAGTGAGAAAATAAGCATGCCTGCGAAGAAAAGTCTGCCACATTATAAGCAACATGTGATCCTTGGCTTTTGAAGTCGTCGCCATAATCCTAATATAATCAAAAACTTTGTAATAGGTAAAATGTTCAGGTGAAAAAAGTTAAGCACACAAATGGTTACCAAGTAAACAACATTAATTACCTGAGACATGCCACCAATGGAAAATCCATCATTAAAAGTCTGGCTGAGACCTTGAACAGGTGGCTGAGCAATTGAAAGAATGAAGGAAAATATGAAATGATCAGATCAGAGATTTTAGATGGACGTACAAAACTTTTGAAAACAAACAGAAAAACTAACCTGTGTCATTAGTCCACTTTGGGATAATGGACCACCAAGGGAGGGCTGGCTGTTTGGATTGTCCATTGAAGGAAAACTAAATCCAGGACCAAAGCTGCCCACAGCCTGCTGTGAGTTATGTTGATGACTTAGATGACCTCCAATAGGACCGCCAGCATTGCCTCGACCAGCACCGAAGGCCCTGTTCCCGGGCTGCGGAACCTGAGGCATAGCTCCAATTGGTCCATGGACAGCTCCACGAGTTGGAATAGCATATGGCTGAGAGTGGGGGCCAGCAGGAAAAGGTGGAAGGGGGATTCGGGACAATGGATAGCCTGCCGGGTGCACCACTGGTTTATGAGTACCATTTGGTGTTGAAAATGGCATGTAAGAGTGGCCTGGTTTGATCAATTGTAAATATTAGCATTACAACTATTCAAAGCCTACATGCAGGTAGAAATATGTGAAATTCTGGGTTTATAAATGGAGGAACATAAAATGCTAGAGCAATGATTGATTAAAACAAATCAAAATTGTTACGATCGCAAAAGTGATTAAGAAAAATCAGATATATATATAAAATGTTTAATAAAAAAACCTTTCATCCGTCCAACTCTCTTGTCAGCATTTGGGCTTGGCAAATTAACAGGACCAAAATTATCACCAGACACAATACCAGGGCCAGCACCAATGAAAAGCCTACGGTCATTATAAATCTGTTGGACATAAATCAATGGCACAAGATATTACTGCCAACTCAAGGAGGCACATTTTAATGAAGCCTATTGATTAAAAAGACCAAAAAAGAGGAGTAAAAATGGGAAAACTTAATTTATGCTGCAACTAACCTTCTTTGGCTTCTGAAATTGTACCATGCTCTGTTTGAGATTATTCAGAGGTCCTTCTACAAGACACTCACGTTCCTGATTTAAAGAAAAAAAAAAAACAGATATATTTAGCTACATTTAGTTTAGAGTAACGACAAGTTGCATGAACAGTTAACAGAACTATTCAGCAAATAATTTAGCATTGATAAGAAAAGATCATTGCTTGTTTGCACATAATAGCTTCTAGATAACCAAGCAAGCACTTATGCAAACTTAGCTCCAGAAATAAACAAGGGATGCAATTTAAAATTTATCAGTCGATTGGTTGGTAAAAAAATCACATTTTTTAAGAGCGTATACCACTTGGAGAAACTAAATCTCCCCCAAAAGTCCAAATAGGTAAACTTCCATAACATCCAAACCATGCTTTGCTAGGCCAGATAAGAAAAGGCTACTCATGATCTTTGTTACGGGAAATGCTAGATTTAAACACAATTATATGAACTCTGTGTTAGCTGTTAAGCTTTGTACTTTCTTGCCACGTGGCAAATCTGCCACATAAGCTCTTGTACTCTATATATTACTCTCCTATTTACCTTTATGAAATAATCTGAGAAATTAGTTTGCTTTAATTTCATCTTCTCTCTGTTCTTTCTTTCTCAAGAACTCAGCACTCTGCAGCAAACTGTATAACGGTTTTATATAAGATTGCCATATTAGAATCTTTCAGGGGCCAAAGGGCTACCACAAAAGCTCCTTATGAGAGTTATTTCCATGAAAATATAAATAACACGAAATAGGCCATTCTGTGACATTAAAGAGAGAATTTGCAGAAAGGTTAAGTACAGAAATGGCACCAGTAAACGTATGCTGTGCCATTAATCATTATCCATCTTACTGGTACATAGCAATACATGGAAATGTGTCTTCTGTTTATAAAAATTAAAAAAACAAAAACAAAACTAGAAAATCTTTATCCATTTAATAGTAACACAGATTAATAAAAATTAAAAGACAAACCATTTTAAAAGAAAACTACAGTTGGAAAATTAGCCATCGAACACAAAGGGTAAAAAACAATATATGTTGCGTCTAAAAGGAATTTCACATAAAACTCTGATTTTATGAAGACAAGAAAGCTCATCTTGAAACCAGTGAACCATAGAGTATAAGATAACACCAAACTTATAAAAATTAAAATAAACTTAGATTAAATTAAATAAAAAAACAAAAAAACTAAGGCACACTAGGCATTGCGAGAATGCAATAAAATAAAGGATAGCACCAAGCCAGGACCCCAACTTGCGCAATCATCAGAGAACAAATAAAAACCAACTACGCAAGTAATATGTTCAACAAGTACCTTGTAATGCGTCAGTAAACCATTCCATAGTGGCTGTTTGCTCAGAACCTTCGGATTCCCCAAAATAACAATGCCATAGCGAGCTCGTGTTAGAGCCACGTTCAACCTACGAGGGTCATTAAGAAATCCAATACCCTGACAAAGTAAAGTATTTGAGGAACAATACATCTCAAGTTGTATGAAGAAATATTAGCGAAACTGTTCATTTTGGTACTCTACAGACGAGAAGCTGGAAGAAATACATGAAACAAGGGGAAAAAATCCAATATAAAAAAGGGATCTGCTAGAACGGACAAATTACAAGATCCACGAAATTAGAAAAATAAGTTCAAGGAAAAACCATATCACACAGACCATCCAACGTATTGTATTACTGTCATTCACTTTCCATTTACATGTCTCAATATGCAAGATTCAACTAGAAAATAGAAGAGCAGCTGCCCAGGTGACTGTTAATGATGTCCCACTAGGGGAGTAAGTGAGTCAAGCCGGCTCGAGCTCGACTCGTTTATGGGCTCACGAGCCAAGCTTATCGAGCTCGGCTCGGTTCGTGAGCTCGCGAGCCGGCTCGAATAATTATTAAATATAAATATTAAAAAAAATAATACTAAATGTTACGTAAATCTTGGTGTAATTTTAAAGTTACCGCCCAAAATTTTTGTGATTTTTCAAATCCCTCGTGTGTATTTCAAAGTTCTCTCTCTCTTCTCTCTGGCAGACTACAGCATAACAATGGTGAGCAGTCCAATAAATGATGATGTAAAGTGTGTTCATTTATTACAGACAGATGAATAATAAATGCCTAATATTCATTCTGCTCTCTCTCTCTCTCTCTCTCTCTCTCTCTCTCTCTCTCTCTCTCTCACACACACACACACACATTTTAAAAGGCCGCACAAGGCTCGACGAGTTCGAAAGGTGAACCAGAAGGCGAACTAGAAGGCCAATCGGACTGCGCTGGAGGCTCGACGAGCGGCTCAAACTTTACAATGGAACGAGTCGAGCTCGACTTCGAGCTCGCTATTTGATAGTTGAGTTCAACTCGAACACCCCCTGACTCAAGTTTGACTCGACTCGTTGCACACCTATGTCCCAAACTGGTAAATTAACTAATTAAGCCGTAAGTTGGAATAGCATTCATATTCCAAAAAAAAAAATTCTGAGAGAGCATGTTGCACATCTAACAGCTTTTGAATACTTAACAGTAGTCAGATTCACACATAATTGCTTTTGAGAGGAAACCGGCAGGATTGTGATCAGCTTCAACCGAAAATTATAGGAACGTTTGAAGTTTTGCAATGTCGATAGAGACCTTAAATCTTAGTTCCCATCCACTTCTAAAGAATAGCCCTGCCGCATCATGGGTCTTAATTAGGAAGATCCATAGTGTCGTATGGTCTATTAGCAGGCAAGGTACGATCAACAAACATCATTTGATTAATGAGATCACCTCTACCTCAGAACAAATTTTGCAAAACATAATTTTGTAATGTAAGAAGCATCGTTAGTTTTAAAGCACGTTTGAAAACATTCGATGTTTAGAAAATATGCCATATTTTCAAAACCTATCTACCAAGAAAATATACCACGTCCTAGGAAAACCTAAAATAAAATCAATGGGAAAATAAAATCAATGGGAAAGGTCTTCCCAACGTCTGTAAAGTATATAGAAATGGCAGTATAGATTCCAAATCTTTTGATGATCATAGCTAACCTACAAGTAAAACATTATGAACATCAAAACGTCCCTTTTGATTGAGGGATGTTAAATTCAAAGAGTTGGAGGAGAAAAATGCTTAATTTTATTATACAAAATTATATTTACTTATAGATCTATACAAGATGTCTTAATAAAGAAACAAATAACTACATAATCATGCATAATTGCCTTAATATAATCCTTCCTAAATCAGCCACCCAAATATAGAAAGAAATCAACATGATCCAAGTGAGCCTCCCACGAATTCCTATCCTGGCCGTGGGATAGAGTGTTAAGAGACGGCTGGGATTTAACATTGATCGACATGATCCAAGTGACCCTCCCATTCCCATCCTAACCATGAGATCAAGTGTCAAGGGTCACTCAAGCTGGGGAATACAAATTTGTCACGCCCAACTTGGTAATTAGTCGTAGAAAAATAGAGTTATTAAGTCCCTTGGTACACCATAGCCCTTCATTTGGTCAAAACTTTGGGTCGAATTAGCTTCACACATTGCGACAACGCAAATGACAGCGATGACGGCTACATCAATCAAGCATGAAAGGTGCGGGGCAACAATGAAGGCTGTGTTGAACAGTAGCCCTCAAGACATCGAAAATGGCATTATAAACTGATGGTGGGACAGCAAGGAAAGTGGATTAATTATCCTTCGGGTCCATCTTCCCCCTAGTTCTTAAGGGAAATCCAACAATGAAGGCACAACAATAAAAAAATGAAAAGAAATTATATTTTACGATTGCAACAAGCTTCAAGGACAGAAGCAGAAACACACGTCTAAAGCGACTCAGCACTCAACACGCAGATATCCTCCTTCCCAGGTCATCCGACACCACCTGAAAAGACTCATGTTCGATAGCCAGTACAAGTGCACGCAAAAGCCCTGATCCCTTTGGTATGATCGTAAGAGAGAGTGCAAGTCTTGCACACTTGCTTGTCTCTGTCCCTGCATTAGAGAGAGCTCTCGACTCTTTCCAGACACACACAGAAGGTCATGTGCCCTCGGTTGTCTCTAGGTATCGCATGCAAGAGGAACCCTCCCGCTCAATCTCTCCTTGGTCTTGGATGCATGAAGGTCCTCAGAATTCCAATAATGAAGGCGGGTGGTGGGAATCATTATTCCTGAAAATTTGGGCAATTAAGGCTGGTAGTGGGAACATGTATTCTTCAAAATTCTGACAATGAAGGCTGATGGTTAGACCAATATTCCTCAAAATTCCGGTAATGAAGGCAGATAGCGGTAATCTAGATTCCTCAAAATTTCAGCAATGAAGGTCGGTCGCGGAAACCTGCATCCCTCAGAATTATGACCATGAAGGCCGATGGTGGGAACCTGGAGAACCAGCATGTGGTTCCTGCTCGCCCCCTCTCCTGATCCCCTTTTCACTCAGTTCGGCCCCCAGATAGGCAAGCACGAGAGGGGTCTCATGTGCCTTCTTTAGACGCATGCAAAAGACCAAAAGAGGAAGCCCTCTCACTTGCTCGGCTGCTCTAGATGTACACGAGTAGGAAGTGTAATGAAAGAACCAGCTCATCCTTGATCACACGAACATTAAGCGCAATCCAGCTCAATCAGGTCCAAGGCACACGCGCGGAATCCTCGAGACAAATGCCTCTCTTGTCCCGTTCAATTGCACGCATGCGAGAGAGGCTTACAAGACGTTTCTCTCTCTCGATCAAACACAAAAACCGCAGGGTTCTTGCTCGACTCCTCCAGACGAGATGCACTAGATGTTCGTCTCTCTTGATCAAATGAAGGACTGTGGGATGAGACACTCTTCCTCTCTCAGTTGAACATACACAGGAACGAACAAGCCGGAATACGCTCCCTTTCATTTATGAAGGTAATGCCCCTCAGAAAGTCCGGTAGTAAAAATTTTCAACATTCCAACCAAGACAATAAAGACTCTGATATCATGTTAAATTCAGAGAATTGGAGGGGGAAAAGGCTTAATTTTATTATGCAAAATTATCTCTATTTATATATCTATACAATATGTCTTAATAAAAAAACAAATAACTACAAAATCATGTATAATTGCCTTAATATAATCCTCATAAACCACCCATCCAAATATAGAAAGAGATCGACATAATCCAAGTGAGCCTCCCATGAATTATTATCCTGGCCATGGGATCAAATGTCAAGGGACGGCTGGGATTTAACATATAGATCAACATGATCCAGGTGAGCCTCCCACGGATTCCCATCCTAGCCGTGAGATCAAGCGCCAAGGGACGGCTAGAATTTTAACAAGGGATAATAAAACCAATTTTTCATCAGATAGTTTTTTTTTTCCTTAAAATATCTAGCAATGCCACGAAAATGCAATTTAGAAATAAAAAAAAAATTCTCACAATAAACATCTAGGAATACACTATTATTTTCCCCAAGAAAATTAATCATAAATCAACGTAAGTTCATAAAAATTCTCATCACTGAAAATGTTTTTTCTATATTCGCATAAAACATACTATGAAAATCAAGGCAAATGCAAACTGAATAATCCTCCTTAAAATCTTTCCTATTCTAAAGAAGATATCAATAAAGCAACCCCAAACAGTGCATCATCAACAAGCTAATTTTCAACTCCAACCCTATGTTTAAATTATAAAAGCAAAATTTTGCAATTCAACATATTTTGTTTCTAATTCACAACTTACTTATTTATGAATTTAATAATATGTTTGAAAGAATTAAAAATAATTTATTTGTGCATTTGATAGTCTCCAATGTTTCAATGATCAAATTATAGCATAAGAATCTAGCATAGTTAGAATAGCTTTTTGAAGGACTGCGGGACTCATAAGTCAAATCTTGATAGGCATTCTTAAACATACGGATTAAGGATTCTAGCCATTGGATAAATCCTATTATGGCCCTTAGATTGTAATATGTATCTCTCTCTTTGTATTTTAACCATCCACCCCTCCTAGGGACGCTTTTTTTTTTAAATAACTTTGATTTATTTTCATTGCATGCCTTTTGGAGAAGTCAATAAATACTTACACGATAAAGTAATTTTAAGTAATAAAATTCAAAGTAATTTTTTCTATTTTCTACTTTTCTTTTTTTTCTTTAAACCTTTTTGTCGAGATTCTTCATTCCATTAATTATGGCCTATTTCTTTAACTTCTCTTCCAATGAGCCAACCAATCATCATAAAGGATGAAAACCAGACTAGAGGAACTTCAGGGCAACAATCGCCACATCACCTAAATGACAAAAAGTATCTGAATGGTCCCAAATTGTGAAAACATTTATAAAAGAAAATGGAAAGATCCATCATTTTATGAATCGTCCTTTATAGTCGAAAGACGCAAATTTTATACTTTGGGATGAAGCAAATCCTATAACTAAGACATGATTATGAAATACTATGATGCCTGAAATCAATGGTACATATATGTTTTACT